CCCGGCCGCTCTTAAAGGCGCCGCGCGCCGCTTTACGTAACGGGGGGCCGGGCGGCGCATGGGCAGAGGCGGCGCGGTGCGGGGGACGGCGGCGGGCGCTGCCCCCCCGCGCTGCGGGACGCCTGCAAGGGGGCCCAAGGTCACGGCCAGCCCCGGGGCTGCAGCGCGGGCCCTCGGCACCCGGGAACGCCCGTCCGGCCCCGGCTGCTTTGCACAGCTCCGGTGCACCGAGMCCCGGCACTCCAGGCACCGGACACCTTGCAAGGGGCAGAACCAGGGTGTGCGGGTAAGAAGAAACTGAGTACCCAACTTGCCACACGTGGGATGAGGGACAAGTGCTCRTGCAGGGCTCTGGGAACATGCATGGTGCTCCTGGAGATGCTGCCTCCCACCCCAGCCCTGCATGACCTTGGGAAGGAGAAGTTAAGGGAAGGGTGGACACATCCACATAGGGAGGAGGAGAAGGGCAGAGAGAAACCCAGGGGAGCTGCCTCCTCTCCTCCAGAGCTACCTGCAAGGCAAAGCCCCAAAGCAGAGCAGCAGCTCTAATGCCCTTCAGCTGCCTCTGCTTCCTTCTCCACACTTGCTCCCTAGATCCCAGCTTCTAGGCTTGACCTTGCAGGGGGAATCTCCATTGGGCAGGGACAGGGCTGGGGGCTAGTGCTGGCTTAAGGCGGCTCTGCTAGGACCAGCCAGTAGCTGGTGGCCACGAAGGGAGGGAAGCCGAGTCTTGTGGTGAGGCAGGACTCAAAGCAGGCTGAGCAGAGCACTGCAGGGCAGCCTGCACTTGCTCTCCCAAGTCAACACGGTGGCAKTTGCTGGCAGCCCCGATGCCAGGGAGAGGTGCTAGGAGCTGCTGGGTGAGGGCAGCTGGCAGCAGAGCAGCCTCCTCCAGCTGGAGCACAGCCATAGTGTCACACAAGGAGCCACACACAGGTGGAGGTTGAAGCTTTTAACATTTTATTCAAGCAGAGAGCAGGTAACTCAGGAACAGASTCTAGGAGCCCACACCCAGTCAGAGCCCAGTACCCAACACCGCACACCGATGCCAGTCACAGCTGTGACTGCTCACCAACAAGCAGGGTTTGTCTTTCTCTGCTGGTAACAAAGCACACGATCAAGTCTGACATCAAGATGCATGCAAACAGCAAAGCAAGGGCTGCCCCCGAGGCAGCCCCAAAATACCACCTGGAGAAGGGGGCCCAGGAACCAACAACACAGGGTACATGTGCTTCAGAGAGGACAAGGCAGTTAAGGAAGGAACAAGAGCGACACGAGCTTGGACACCTGTCTCCYTGCAAGGCCCATGAAAACCCCTCCAAAGCTACAGGCAGCTGGAGCTTCTCCTGCCAGAGGCTGGAGGCTTCTCCATGCCCATGCCAGGAGGCAGGACCACAAGGTAGGACCCTGTTCAGGTCTCTCCACCTCCCAAGCAGTGCTCTTKATTTAAAAAGCTATTTTATAACAGGGACTGGCCACAGAGAGCTTTTTAGGGAATGCACACTGCATCTTACTGGATGTCAAATGGAGAGAAGCAGGGCTCARCTTCACACTAGGAAGCAGAGAGGTCATCAGAAACATGCCAGTGATTTTGTTCCCTCCCCATCCTCTGCAACAAGACTGGACTCTCCACTCAGACCTAGGGAGAGGTACAGGCAGTTTTCCGTGCACACAAGCCAGCTCTGCCACAGAATGAAGAGGCAGAATGGGCTTCAAGTAGTACACACACCTTCAGCAGTGATCAGAGCGCTCTGCCCCATCGGCCCCCAAACCCTACGCTCACCTTTAATTCCATAAACTTGGTAACTGATTGAAGAAAGCTCACTAAAAATCACAGAGCACAGTCTAACTAGGTTGCTTGTGTAAAACATCACGTCTCACAACTAGAGGTAGGAAGCTAATTCAAGACAGCACAACTATTTGAAACAGTTCAGCCTACAGAGCAGGTGGAGTCTGAAAAGTACATAAGGGACTGACATTTGTATTTTTATCACCACAGGAGAGTGGGAAAACAATAACAAAAAAAGACTGCAGGAAGTTGATCCATGTTAGATACTAACCATCAAGCTTTGCAGATGACATTGCATGATAAGCATAGAACAATTATGGGAAACACTGTCCCCGATAATTACGTACACCCATAGTGCAACATATGGAGGTCACTGCCTCCGATATAACACTGTGGTAGGCAAAAACTACCTTGTTCTTTACACATTATGGAAGACACTGCCTCCGATAATGTCAGTTAGGTTTCATGATACACAAGGTACTGGAAGTTTGCAGGAAGCTGCCATTGAAAATTGGGCTAGTGCTTCATCTGGGACACAAGTTTGCTTGTGTTGTGGGGGGTGGCACCAGGGCTGCATAAATGAGGCCTTTTATCACGTCACCTAGGAGCACGCCTGCTCCCAAAGCCAAATTTCTCCTATTCTACTTCTCCACCCAGGTTTTCACCATTTCAAAGATCAATTTRGAACACAACCCAGAGACTTACTTGAAGACTTTACATCTTCAAGTTTATTCCAAAGYGGTGTTTTTGCCACAGAAAGCTTAATCGCTAGTTTTCAATTATTATTTTTTTTGCTTGTGTTGATTATTTTAAATGCAAAGTTCCAGTATCATGTTTGACTGTAATAGCAGATGCTGCTTTATTCAAAAACGACAGTATAACTGTCATAATTATGGAAGGCACTGCTTCCGATAATTATCTTCTATAAAAAACCACACACCATTTATAGTGAACGCTGTCACTGATAAATAAATAAACAAATAAATATCTCAGTGCCAAACAAGAGCCGTCCTGAACAATGGCAACAGCCAGACAGGGTGTGGCCAGCACGAGACTCATTTCACAAAAGGCCCAAAAGCAGCAAGATCTGAAGTGCCCATTTAGTCATTCCTCAATGCTACAGGACTCACCAAGCTGCCAGTTCAGAGAGACCTCTGATGGTCTTTGGCTCATCTCCCCTGGTATCAAGATCTGCTTTGGAAGAAGCCTCTGAGATGCTCCAAGGCTGCTGCTCTTTGGCCAGGGGAGGCTGGGCACTTCAGAGCTTGCTGATAATCTAGCACTTATGGGCTACTACTACACAGACTTATTCTTGAGCTAGAGGTTTGTCTCTGCAGCTCCCTGATGAGGAAGAGATTCTCATTACAAACGCTGAAGGAATCTATTCCCTGTTCTATCACTAAGTTTAGGAGGCCAATAATTTAAACCCTAAATAGATGTGGTACCTACCCACTAAGGTACCAGTTTAGATAATCTGCCAGTTGTTTGTCAAGTACACCAGAAAGCCCCACAACAGCTCTATGTGACTGGTTTCAATTGTGATCAGAGGAAATTTCACGGTAAATCAAGTACCTGCTTTAAAACTGCCTCCTGTGAATTTATCAAGGTGAGAATTTAGGTTTAAGCTCAACTTTGGTCAAAACAAACAAAAATAAACACACATTCCCCCCACCCCGACCAATTCTCTACAGAACTATAATGCCATGTTAGAGAGTGGGTTTCCATAATTGTGTACCTTAGCCAGGTGTGCTTGCTGTGTCTAAAACTCATTGTCTGTATCCCAGATATCCCCTACTATGGCATTGGCAGCCCCTTTGATCGTCCAGGTCGCCAGGGCCAGCTGCTCCTTCAGCAGGTTCACGTTCACRCGGCTCCTGCTGGTCTTCAGCAGCTGCAGGTTCTCCAGGAGGCTCTGCAGGGTGTGGGAGCCTTTGCCAAAGAAGATGTGGCGAAGGGGAGTATCTTTTGGTGACAGATATGGGGAGAGGAARTCATATTCCACCTGGAGCAGGGGTGCAAGTTAAAGGTTACTCTCTCACCTCCCAAATTTATTTCTTCCCTCATCTGCCCCATCATTAACCTCCAGACTTTCATTCCCATCCATCCCTTTCCCACCTTCTGCAAGGGCCAGAAGGTGGCCTGATGGGAGACACACAAGTCAGTCACATTAACATTAAACAGGCAGGAGACACCCYGATCTACACCGTGCCCATAGCTCCCAAGTGAAGAGGAGCATCCCAGCTGGTATCCATTCTCTTTGGGAAAAAAAGAAAAAAAGAGAAGCTGGTTGTAAGGACCCACCTTCATGATCCTGTCATTCAAAGCCCTGCGCATGACCTTGTTTTCCCTATCACTGTGTGCAATGTCTCTTCTTAGTCCATCTACAGCTCGCTGGAAGTCTCCACGGGCAAAAAACAGCCAGTCCAAGGTCAGCCCAAGCTCCTGCAAAGGAAGAGATGGTAGCAAAGCTGATTTTCTTCCTTCATTGCTCTATTACAGATGTAATTTTTTCTCCTTTTTCCCCCCACCCCCTCCATTCACGTTAAGTTTAAACTTAGTAGCAGAACCAGTTCCTGGCAGTCTTGTCTGAAGAACATTCTGTGATGTCTCTCCCCACCCACAGCTTCTTTTACTGTTTCAGCAGAGATGCAAATGACAGCAAAGATGCACTGCACTGAGTGACAACCAATCTAGAGAACCACTGCATCTGCATCAGCTTCTCCAGGAATTCMTCACAGCAAGACTAGCTGAGTCTGTCTGCTACAGCCGCTCTGTACTGCTCTATATAAAGCATCAATTCAGGTCACATCTTGCTACAATCTCATCTCAAGAGGAGGAAAATGTCTGTTCTACTATATTCAGTAGCCACAGAAGCTTGTTGACACAAGGCACCATACCACTCTACAGAGATTCAGTGCACTTCAAGCCTTACCTTCACTTCCTGGTCATATTCCAGAAACTTCTCCTGGAAGGTTAGCAGCTCATCACTGTATCTCCCAAAGTCCAGGAAAAGCTCATGATCGTGGCTCAACCTGAGAGCAATGTGTCCAGCCACTTCCGCAGCCGCAAACATAAGACTGTAGAGCCTGGGAATCTTCTTCAGGTTCTCCACAGTGTCCTCAGCAGTGCCCAGGAAGGAGTATTCCTCACCTCTCTGCAGGACAGAAAACACCAGAGTCAGACAGAAATGCTTCTCAACCTAGAGGGAAAAAAAAAACTTGCCTCCCACTATAGTTTGCCTCCTATTTCTACCACTCTCCCACCCTCTTAAGCCCTTATGCAGCAAAGCCCTAGTGACAGAACATAAAGCACAAGGCAGGGACTGCTGCATSTAGTGTTTGACACTCTCCAGTAATCATCAGGATGCTCTGCTAGCCCATTAGACCTGAAAACATATGGACCTCAGTCCTACTGAAGATCTGCTCAGTGCYGTAGATGGACAAACTCAGCACCTAATTCAGTATGTGCTAACAGAACCCCCTCTCCCTTCCCTCTCCATCCTCTAGACTTCTGGTCTGGGTGGGTCGATTTAGGATTTTTTTTGGTTTTGTTCTYATGTTAGGTTTGAAAGCCTGTTTGACACTAACCAAGTCCAAACATTCATAAGACAAGGAAACTGTTACCAGAAAGTCTCATTCTGCTCAGCTTCCAGCCATACACTTGGACTCTACAATAAGAGAGCAAACTGCCTAGATAACAATACTTTTTTTTTTATTTTTTATTTTTTTTTTTTTTGGTAGCCCCAAGCTGCAGTAGCAGATACAGCCAGCAAGTTAGWGCTTGCCTCTGGCTAGTTACACAGCTTCCTCAGTGCTCTCTGCTTCCTGAACAGCAGGCTCTAGTATATCCTTTCATTAAAGCAGCAGCAGCAAGCTGCTCTTTCCAGGGAGTTAAGTTTCTGAAGCACTATCATTTGAACCTCCAGAAGAGGGAAGGCCCCCTCTCCCAAGAAAACAGATGGTCACAATTGTGGAATAGAGGCCATATGCCAGCCATGCCCAAGGAAAGGCCTGCGCAGAGAATACTGCCATGGCCATGAGGTCTGGAAGCTGTTCCCCTCTCCCTGCATGGAAGATGAGTCTGGGAGCAACACTATGTGCTCTGCCATCCTGGAGGGCAGCTAGTGTTACAGCATTTTCCATAGAGCAAATGCACACACCAGGCACACACAATACTTACATCGTAGAAACCAAAGGACACAGCTGGGATTCCTGAGTATGCCAGGAAAGGAAATGCCGCATCACCCAGGCCAAGGGGAACACTACAAGAGACAGGTATTGAACAGTTAACTGGTTAAGATACCCCAGGAAAAGAGCTACAAGCCCTAGAGCTGAAGATCCAAAACATGACGGTTGCCCTGTCTAGGCAGGGCAGGTTTTGTCAGACAAGTGCTGAAGGCCGCCTGTCTRTTTCCAGTGGCTGGTCTTGGAGCAGAGAGCCTTTCCGTAGGACAAGGGCAGCCTCGAGGTGCCTACGTGCAGCTTGGGGCAGCACAACGCACAGCCAGTGCTGGGCTGTCCAAGCTTGCATGCCCCCRTCCCAGTAAGTAGGGCCTGCCCCAGACAGCAGTGCTGCGCATCAGCACCAAGAGCAGAAGCTGTTTAGTTTCTTCCTTTATGGCAACTTGCTTCCCAAACAGCACAATCAAGAGACTTACACTGCTTTTACCCAGTCCGAGCCAACTCTGTTCAGCAGGGTGCCGTCATCTGCTGGATCTGATACCTGGAAAGAGACTGACAGTCACTGCTCTTGTTCTGGCCTCCGCTTGGGCTTCCAGGCTGCCTGCAAGCTGTTTGGCCATCCCAGAGCTCACGTTACCACGTAGATGTCAGAGTTGGGTGTTCTCTCCTGACCTTTCTGCACACATTGTCCATGCAGGACTAACACCTCCCAATGAACTGTGCTGGGTGCAAGTTTTGGATTCCAGATGCATGCTCTAATACCTGCAGTTCAGCTGTCTTGAGACAGGGCCCTCACAASTGTCTCAGCCCTTTCTCCCCAATAGGCTTCTTTTCATAAGGTGCCCAACACAATTCAAGCAGCTTTCACCTTCTCACGAAATCATAGTCGACTTGGTCGGACCAAGACCCTTCAACTCACCCCTTTCATTGTTCTCTCCAACAGCGAGTACAGCATTGGGCTGGCAGAAATCTTGACATGCTTCCAGCCTGCAAGACAGGAAAGAGCTCTGAAATGCTGGTACAGCTAATCACTACTTTCAGAACACTTAGATCCTCTAGCTGAGCAGCAATAACACCTCCTGGGTCAACTGATCTACAGGGTGTTCCCAAAGAATCCCTGGCAGACACAGGGCAGAACCTGTTTGAAGCTAGCAGAGCTGTCTTTCTCTGGCTCAAGCTTGCAACAACTTTCTAGCTTCAACAAGCCAATGAYAGGAGTCATGCCAACCTTCAATCAATCAATGCCAGCTTAACAGTCAGGCAGCCTCCCTTTCTGGAGGCTGGGGATGTTGGTCAAGCCATTTTGGTGCAATCGGGCTTCACRAACCTGAACAGAGTGGTACGTTACCTAGAACGGCCGCATCGAGGTTGATGTAAGTGAAGGCTTTGGCATGCAGCGTGGCAGAGTATCCCTAAAACAAAACACAGAYGTAAGATGAATGGCAACAGAGCAACACCCAAACATTTCAGTCATGGGAGCAGGGAATCAGAAATCAACAGTCATTGCAGAAGTCCAAAGAAAAGTACCTCCAGCCATTCAGTAGCACCCACAGCTCCATACTCCCCGGCACTCCAGCTAGCAAAGATGATGCTTCGCCTTGGTTTATAGCCATCTGCAAATAAAGCAAGGGAGAAATACTGAGATCTATGCCATTCTGCCATGGAGATGTAGATTACTGGGGCTCTGAGCTGATGAATCACCAACTGCTCAACAGGCAGAGCCAAGGCAGTCTGTGCAGGCTGGAATGTGCCTGCACATTAGTTACACTGAGAACATCTTGCCTTGTTCCTCCTTATCTCTCCAGATCTTTGTGGGGAATCCACGTCACCTGCAATCCCTCACTACCACCCTCTTCTTCAGCTGCCAGAACCCAGAATCAACCCTGCAAAGACTTGCACTAAATGCAGCCCCAAATTCTCCAGCAGGTCAGTTACTTCAGGGTTTTCTACCTTCAGGGTTGGCTGCCCAATAGACAACTCCCTTTTCAGCTTGTGTTATCCAAGGGCACTGCTGCATTTGAGCTTACTGGATATAAGCAGGCAAGTCCCTTGGAAACAAGTGCTCGTTGCAGACATTGTCCATGCTGGGACAATGAGGGAGCCTGGCATCTCAGAGTTTTGTCAGATAACCTTCATCTTCAAGGGATTGCTTTGCAACTGAACTCTCCCATACATACTAACACACACAACTGATTCYGGAGGATTCAGTCTCCTTCTCCTCCCACTCCCATGCCTTCCCCCCCCCAGCCCCCGCTCATATACTTACCCTTTTTCACCACCTCTGAGATCACTTGGGCAAGTTCCAACAATATGGCAGTTCCAACACCAGCCTTGGCTGCTCCTGGGCCCCAGGAATCCCTCTGAGCTCCAATCACAACATACCGATCTGTAAAGGTGAGATTAAGAGCTCTGAGCTGCAAGCCTCATACTGCAAACACTTTCCATCAGAAAAGCAGCTTTGAATTTCCATGCTAGGAACACAGTACAAATTCTGGCCCCTGTATTTGGCTCACTGTATTCGAACTTTCCCTGGCAGCTCAGTTTATCTTTTCTCCAATTTTCAGGCAAAGACCTTGGTTTTGCTGGCTGGAAAATCTGGTTGCCTTCGTCTGGAAACAGCTGCCATGCTCTGAAGATGGCAGAATAGGAAGAGTGCCCCCTTAATTCTGAGCCATAAGGCAATTGCTCCTACCTGGTTCTTCAAACCCCTTGATAGCACCRAAGATGTTCAGAATCTTCCTGTCCACCATGACATTGTTCACTTTCAGTTGCACTGTCTTATTGCCTTGACTGCTCGACATCAACGCACAGCTGATGRTCCCACCTTTCCATTCCGCAGGACATGGGCCCCCATCCATTTTGCTGAGGGGAAAGAGATACTTTGAGCTTATTGTCCATCTCTCACTTCATTTACCTGTCCTGTGAGATTCAATAGCTTGAAACCCCAGGAGCAGCCTTGTTCAAAGTCTACTCAGAAATTAGCTTGCAACCCTGTKCTGCTAATTGTGCGTGGTCAAGAATGCAGACCATGGCCAATGCTAAAGTAAAATCTGTCTTTAGGTAATAAGACATGTCAAACAAGTGACATTTCTCCAGCCTAAGTGCAATACATTGCAGAGACCAGCAGAGCGCTCCCTGGCCTTACAGCACTTCCTCACCACCAGCAATAGGTGCAACAGCCTGGCTGGCACGGACAGTTACCTGAACAGGYGGCTTGCTGAGTCGCTGGAGATGGTCTGAACAGCAATTTCAGGTAGTCCCGAAGATTTGACTGGGGGGAACTGAGTGTGGTTGAAAGAAGGGAAGCCTGGAGTGAAAGGGTCTCCAGTGCCAAGGTGGGCCTGCAAAAGGCAAGAAAAATCCTCAGGTTTCATACAGAGGACCAAGAGTTGTCATCTACACAAGAACATGAAACTCTGCCAAGCTGGAGGCCTGCAGGACTGCACAGCTTGCAGTCCACAGTGAAGGCAACTCAGCAGAGCAGCAGTCAAGAGCTAGTCACATACTCACATGCCCAAAAGGGACGAGTTGGTTCGTGCCCTTGTAATCAGATGGATCCATGTACATCACAACACCAACTGCTCCCGCCTCTTTGGCATTTGCAACCTGAAACAAAGAACAGTATTAGGTGCACATTTGCACAGCAAGCTAGAGGAATTTAAGGCAAATACATTGAGGAATGGTGTGAGGGGTTGTGCTTCTCACTGCCCGACTCCACAGGAGATTATTTAAACTGTCACTTGACAACAACAAACAATTGGCATCAAGAACACAAATATTTGGCCAGTCCTACTGTGGACACAGTGTGTCCAAAATTCTTAAATTAGGATGGTCGCCATGGTTAAGATCCAACTCCACAATTTGTTCAACTCAGACCAGTCTCTCAGAGAGGCTCAGAAGGATGTCATTTTTTGTTATATTCAGGATCATTTCCCAAGGGTAGATTAGTATCAAACCAAGATAAGCAGCCCACAGAGGCTCACCTTCACAAAGAAAATAGAGGAGGAGGAGGAGGGGCCTGGTTAAGTCAAGCCCCAATTTAGGGCACCTACAACCCTGCTGCCTCCTACAACACTGGCACACTACTGAAGGCCAAACACAGGTTTACAAGGTGGAAAGGGAGGCACCCACTCCCAACAAGCACCCATGCAAGGGGTGGTTCTCTGGCAGACCTAGAGCAGGCTTTGTGCAGAAGTACTCTGCTCCTTTAGGCTGCTCGAATATTTGGTTTTGTTTCCAGTAAAGGGACAATTACAGGAACACASAAGCTGACTGGCTGGGAAGGCACTGATGGCACCTAAGGGCACCTACGCTTGGATCTACTGAACACTCAACAAGAAACTGAGACTACAACCAAGTTTTGAAAGCATTTGACTGCACTAGCAAAAACTGCTCTAGAGATGAGAAAGGTTTTTTTTTTTTTTTTTTTTGGCAGTTTTTCTGCTTATATCAGCCAGCTCTGTACCCTGTGGTCTTTGCCCTGTGGATCACAGGCTGCCTATCTCTGCTTCCAAGCTCTATCTGCTTGAAGCTCCTGGACACCCAGCTGTCCCAAACAGACTCAGAGGCCAAGAATGAGCTCCCACAAGAAGTGACTAGCTCCACTGAATCTTGGTGTGCAGACCTGCATGTAGAAGCCTAACACAAGGCCAGTCCACAACCTTTTGAAGGCACATCCCCATCTCCTTAGTGCCAAGTTTAGCCTAGCTTCACGGACATAGATTGCTCACCTTCTCAGCAAGGGTAATTTTACCAGCTCTGACGATGACAACAGATTCATTCAAAACACCCAAATTTTGCAGTTGCCGAAAGTCTTCCTTCTGTCCGTAGTTCACATAGACGGGTTTGCCCTGSAACAGAGATACTGCTTATAAATACAGCAGGGTCACAGAATGGTTGAAGTTGCAAGTGAACACTAGAGAGCATCTAGTCCAAATGCCCTGCTAAGCAGGGGCACCTGGAGCACATGGTACAAGGTGTCATTCAGGCAAGTTTAAGATCTCCAAAGGAGGAGGCTCCACCATACCCTGGGGCAGCCTGCTGACTACTCCTGATCACTTTCTTTTCCTTCACATGTCTCGAAATGGTCGCTAGGATGAGCTGCTCTGTCACCTTTCCAGGGATGGAGGTAATGCTGACCAGCCTGTACTTTCCTGGGTCAGTCTTCCTGTCCTTTTTGAAGGGCAGAGTGACATCAGATTTCTTCTGGTCCTCYAGCACCTCTCCCATTCTCCATAACCTCTCAAAGATGGAGGATCTTAGCAATAATCCCCACCAGTTCCCTCAACACTCTTGGGTGCACCCCATCTGGGCCCACAGATTTATGGGTGTTYAGTTTGCCTAAATCATCTAYGACCCAATCTTCCTCRAKCTGCAGAGGTCTTCCTCTCTCCCAGTTTTCTCTTAACTCTAGATTCTGTAGCTCATGGGATCTAACCTTATCAAGGAAGACTAAGGCAGAGAATGCTTTCAGTAACTCTGCCTTCTCTGCATCAAAACATCCAGCCCACTCAGCAGCATGTCCACATTTTCCCTAGAAAATGTGACTGCCCTTCATCTTCCAGGGCCTTGTACATGTTGGATAGAGTTACCCAGTAGGGTGAGATGGGAGAAGGATTTCTCCTGCCACCTTGAGCCTGGACTGGACAAGTTCTCAGCCAGTAAGGTATTTTAAACAATCTACAAAGTAACCGGGCCTGGAATACATCAGTCCAACATTAAAAGCAGGGAGTTTGTGCCCAGCAATGCAGCCTCCTGTCACATGAAAGATGCCTSCTGGAGCAGCACATCTGTCAAAGCTCCTGGCTGGATCCCAGCAGAAAGTTTAAACAGACAGCTACTTCTGCATCTTGCTGAAACAGGAAAAAGTGTGTGGTCCCATTCCTTTCCCATCCTTATCCTGCCCCCACCTTCCCCAGTTCTGTATCTGGGGTGCACTTAAAGTGCATATTTTGAAGAGATACATTTTAGACCTTGCAACCTGGTTAKCATGCAAGCACATCCCCAGCATCTTGTGTCACTTACAGAGGCTGAGCCATTTTTGCTGTATGCCACGTATGCATCAGGACTCTCGGTTATGCTTCCACCATCCTCCAGCAGAGACACTTCATTGTTGCTGCTGTTAAGTGTCAGAGAAGCGTGTTATGCTCTTTCATGTACAGCCTACATACTTCGCTAGGTCCTGTCTTTCAGTCTATGCACTAGTAATTCTGATCAAGTCAATGCAGAGTCTAAAACAGATTGACTCCTATCAGGAATTGCAAACGTTAGTCTTTGGGGTTGTTTATTAGAGATATTAGTGAAGGCTAGTTCGAGAGAAGTAGTGGAAACAGTCTGTACTTCTCAGTCTCTTACTACTCCTCTCAAAAAAAGCCAAGCAAATTTGGCTTTCCTCTTACACAAAGGGACAGGAAGACACACTGATGTGACCTCTCATCCATTGCCAGCTGATACTCCTGAGCTACAAGGAGCAAAAGCCAGGTCTGCAACACCTTCACAGGCATGTGACAGAGGCACGCATGCTGGCAACCTTAGACAGAAGGAGCCTGTCCTTCAGCTGTTTGCTTTCTCTCCAACTCTTGAGCATGCCTCGAAACAGCAGCTATGCTAGGAAGAATCCCTGGGACCTGGGATTTAGAAAGTCTGTGAAAAGACAGCAGTAGCTATTGCTGAGTTATACTGCAATTTCCTTTGGACAGGGATAACTGGCTCGTTATCTTTGCAGCTGCTTGGACTACAAAGACGTAAACTGTAAAAATCTGCAAATCTTCATTAACATACCTGCCTCTGACCTGCAGTTTAATATAGTGCTCATCATTCCACACTCGATCCAACAAGAATTTGTTGAACTGCTCATGAATGTAGGTGGCCAAGCTCTCATCTTCAATCTGGCCAGCTTCAACAGATTTGCTGCCTGCTCTTAGCCTGCAAGAACAGATTTATAGTTTAGGCTAAAGTACCAGTATACAGTACCGCAGCAAGCAAACTCAAGACGGGCAGGCCATTTAAAACCACATTTAATGAGAGGTTATCCCACATCTTTAAGACACCCTAGCTCTCTAAAGGAGCTTAAGCTCTATTCACCAGCTGCACCTCTTCCTTAGCTGTAGCTAAGCTTTCTGGAACTGTTACCTCAAGTTGTCTTCAAGATGTCTGACTGACAGCTTTTTTGAAAAGAGGTCTTTAAGTTCAGGCCAGTAAAGGACACGTGATTCTGGAATCTCTTCCTCCATTTCATCAGCATCCATTAAGTAAGATGCAGTAGGGGTTATCTCACATCTGCCACTTCCATCTAGACACTTCCCAGCCATGCGCATTCGTCCACGGTAGCTCAAGTAGCCAATGAGAAACCCTATGGAAAGAGGAGGCATTTTTCCGTGCTGCAAGGAAGAGGACTAAGCCAGGCCAATATCAGACAAGTGCATTCAAAGCAGCTCTTAGGGGCCATGCGTACCTCTATGCTCACAATTTTTAAAAGCTGGCATACCCAAGGACAGACAGGAATACACAGCCTGACACTGCCTCGGCTGAAACGTTTTACAGGACACTGTATCTGATCTTGTGCTTGGCAGTCTCTCCAGCACCATACACTGAGGAGACAGTTTGTAGCACTGTAAAAGTCTTTGAAGAACTGGCAAACACCGCATGTTTCAGCTTCCAGAGGTCTTACTGATGTGTTCACCCACATCTCTAGAGAAGCATTAGAGTCAGTGAAAGGGAAAACCAGTACCCTTGCCACACCGACCAGTTTGCCCTTTAGCAAACAGATCTACACAGTTCTGCTGTCAAGCTGGCCATTATTGATGCTAATTCCACACCACAAGCCTCAGGTAGAAATATATAGTGACAAGAAGCCACAGCTTGGACCCAAGCTCTAATAACTGTCTTACAAAGCAATAAAAAAAGAATCAGATATTAAAGGCTTTAGATAGACTCAAGACCAGTCCATTTGGTGCAGTTCCCTCCCATCTCTCCTTACCAGTCAAAAGGAGGAGCACAGCTGCAATGACAATGAAGCAGAGGTTCTTGCCAGTCCTCYGTGGCTGCCCCATGCTGGTGTGCAGGTTCTCCTGCCTCCCCATCTCCCCTCCTTCCTCATCATCAGCCGACAGCTTCATCTCCACGTGGCTGTTGTCGCCATCTGTTTGCCGAGCGATGCTGAAGCGCGTGTAGGACATCGGCTCGCCACCAAACTGTGGTGAAAGAGTCATATGAAGGAACAGTTTGTTACGTTACTCAACAGCCCTCCCAGCTAACTGCACCCGTGTCCAAAGCAGGTTCATCTCAGCTTGACAAGATGACAAGCATCAGCTGTCCAGCAGCTAGGCAGGCAGCTTTGCACGCACACAGTTGGACCCAGCTGCACTCCAGGTRCCCAGTGGGATTTTAGTGTCTATTTGCCCTGCACGAATTCAAAACCACACTGGTCACACGCTAGTTTAGTCTCCGTACCACATACGGCACAACCAACAGCATTAGCATTTCCCGTATCACTCTGTGGCAGAGGTTGACTGAAGCTGAAACTCTGAGCGCTAATCAGGAGCGTGCGCACTGATCTGACCTAAATATGTGCAGCTCGCACGTAAAGGAACTTTGATCGTGATGAAGGGAAAACAACCACTCTATGGCTGTGCCTTTGAGCTACCTTCACCTTGATTTAGATAAACTCTAAGATAATAATGGCTTGGGCACACGCTGGGGACAATCAGAAGACTGGCTAGAGAACAGAGAAATGTTTACAGGAGCAACAAGACTGCAGCCTCTCGCCACCGTGCCAAGGAGGCAGCAGCTGATGCGCACCCAGTCCTGCAGCCTCTCTGCAGCTCTCCCACGACTCAAAACAAACAAGGGGGCAGGGGGTCTTACCAAGTTGGAAATGGCTGCTCTGGCATGGTCCATTGCTCTCTGGAGGAGCGCCCACCGGTCTGAACAAAGCCCTGGAAGTTCAGAACACAACACAGCACATGAGGCTGCTTCCCTCCCACCACAGGAGGGCTCTAAGATAAGTCACTGTCGAGCRGGACGCTTGCCCAGAAACGTTACACCTACGTTTCTATATAAGTCACAACAGTTGCAGCCAGTGCACATGGAAGGTCACGTATTATTCCCACCGCAGATACACGTTCAGATGGACAAGCTCAATATTTCTGTTGAACAYGATAGAGGGGAGGAAGAGGAAGAAAAAAAGAAAAAGAAAGAGGAACATGATCTTAAATGGCTAAATTTGGCTAAGAATTCTGTTAATGTTAATGCCACCACCTTTTAGGGAGGGCTAGCAAGAGGCAGCTGCTCAGCAACGACAATTGGCATTCTCGGGGTCCATTTCAATGACAAGATCACGACAAGAGCTCGACTGCTAGCCAGAAGCTGCACACCACTTAGCAGAAGCAGTGCAAATTGCCAGCCTAGAGAAACCTTTTCAATTACAAGGCCCCTTCTGGATGACTATGTTTTTTTTCTCTTTGCAAATGCAATTTCAGTATTTGGGCAGTTTCCTTGAAAAGCCAAGAGCAACTGTGAAGGCACAAACACTTTAGTGTCCTCTACAGTTTGGATTTTTCTAAACCCCAGGTTTATCCAAAAGACCCAAGTTACTTGAGCTTCAGCACTTTTTTTTTCCTGGAAGGATACTCGGACTCAGTCTTGAAGGGCTTTTCCAACCGTGACCAAGTGAAGAAGCTTTGCGAATCAGTGCGGGGACAGCTTGGGCTGGGCCAGGCAGCCGAACCGGAGCGGGAAGGTGCTCCAGAGCAGAGCTGCGGGGCTAAGGCTGGCACCCGAACTGGTCTCCACCCGCACCTGGGCTCATGTATTCATTCCCGGGAGCGCTGCAGGATAATCCCGCCGCGGGGAGGACCAAAGGTCGCCGTGGCCTCGCTCGGGGCCGCGCACACCGGGGCGCCCCGGCCCGGCCGCCCCACGGTATCGCGGGGGGC